GCCAAAAATATATATCTCATCAAATCATATAAGTAACTCATGCAAAATAATATGTCAACCGGATCCACCTATAGTGGCCTGTACGGCTGAATCTATAGCTCAATATCAATCTCATTAGTCTTATCTAGCCGAAGTCATCGCAAGTGACCTGTACGACACTACACTGCACACGAGTCGGAACCCCTGAAAAGGTGTGTGCGACTGAACTGGGTGAAATATAGTTATGCTCACGCTATCCTCTCCTGATAGCTATGCGATAAATCGCTAGTCACCTACGAGTCGAAACCACCTCTAATGGTCTGTACGACATGCACCTGAATTGGATCCAATGTGAGTATATGGTGCGGGGGTGACTATATATATATACAGGCTTGAATCATCTCTACTAAATCACAATCACCCTATTGCAGGTTTATGAGCTTTCAATCATATCAACTCAACAATTACATAATTTAATTTATGAACTTACATGGCACTTACCTGTGCGTCCGCAACACCAATCATGCATGTATGCAATTACTAATGCATAAATAATTAGGCATATACTTTGCATGGCATTTCATATCGCATTTCATATCACATTTCACTTAAATTGATATCCTGGAAAAAATCTCATTTATATAGGTATATACGGAAAACAAAACTGCCCACTCACCTGGAGTTCGCCCTACAACTCCCTAGCACAACACATCAAGGCTTCATGATGATTGGCGCCTAGAACAATCATCAAATCAAACCTCAGAGATCATATCGATAGAATATATAACTTATATAAAACACGTCACTACGTAGTTCGATCCGGAAGATTTGCAACTCAGATTTCCAATCCATAACTTCCAGAGGTCCACAATATATCTCTAGAATAACATCCTAAAATTTCCTTACCATCCAACGGTCGGATCTCCGTCAATTGTCAAAACCAAGTGACGGTTAACATTCTATTTTATGAACTTACAACTCCAATTCTGGAAGATCCGTAAATTGGATTCCCAATCCGTAAGTTCCTATAATCCTCAAATATTACGTATTACAACGTATAAAATTTTGGTGGTGATCCAACGGTCGGATCGTCAATTAACATTTTCACCTAACCACAAATCGTAACGAACTTAGGTTCAATTACTCAATTTACGTCAATCAATTATCAAAAATGAACCTAGAACATTAAACACATGCTAAGAATGACATTGGCGGGCCACTGGCCACGCGCCGCCGCACGGGCCGCCGCTAGTGTCGGTCGGCCACCTCGGCTCGCCGGAAAATCCAACTATCTCCAAAAATTACCAAAATTTACATAAATGAAGATCTCAATGAGTAGAGTAAACTTTATACCTGTGGCCAAGACCAATTTGGCCTGGAAAGGCTCCAATTTGTCCAAAACCGTGAAGAACCCTAGAAATGGGTGAGTTCCCATTCATCCTCAAATCAACTCCGCCGTCCCAACCAATACTTGGGCTTTGTTCCAGGTCCTAAGGGAATGCTAATGGTGTTAGTAATTGAAAGAAAACGTTTCAAGATTTGAAGAATTTGTACACTAAGCCACCGCACACATCGTACAGTTTATCCAATTTCAAGGCCAAATTCTTTGATTTTTGGGGTGTAATAGGAAGAGGGAAGATCATAGAGGGTTTTCCAAGTGATGGTTTGAAGTAAATCACCGGAAAAATGAAGATATTTCGACGAAAAAGGGTGGAAAACCCACCGGGTCGCGCGGGTCATGGTTGAAAACCCATTTCTGTTCTTCTTCCTCCGCTTCTCGCCCTCTCTCCTTTCCTCCTTTCCCCTTCTCGGATTGGCCAGAAACTTCTCTCTCTTCTCCCCATTCGCCCAGCTTCTCTCCTTTCTCTCCCGGAGCTCCTGCTCTCTTCCTCTGGTTGGGCAGTTTTGCCCAATCTTTCCTTCTTCTTCTTCACCAATCACGCACACACACATGCACACGCAAAACCTTCCTTTTTATTTTGTATTTTCCTTCCCTTACATCCAAACCATCCATTTCAGACTTCTTTTAATCTGGGCCATCCAAATGGCACACCAAAATTTTTATAATAAAATTCATAAAATGCCTAAACTTAAAACTTTAAAATCTTTTTCGTTATAACTCCAAATCACGAATCGTCTGCGCCCACGCTTCAATAGCGACGAGTACTACGAGGATATGTCAAGAAAACAAATCTTAGATGGCACAACACAACGATTAACCTCGAATAATGCACGTGCCTCAAAGGGCATTTTTGTAAAATCCTTTATTAAAACTTTAAAAACTCTTAAAATCAGGAACGAGCTGTGACAATTATGAATTTTACTTTACCAATTGAAAAGAAATAAATATAACAGTCATTGAGAAGGCTATACAACTCAAGGAGACTGCATCTTGTCAGACTTACATTTTACAAAGTTACAAAATGTTCTATTTATAAAAGACATTTTACAAAGTTACAAAATATCCTATTTATAAAGGGTTAGTGCCCTAATCCTTTTATTTATAATAGTACCCTTACATATTAATAAAAAAATATTTCCAACATATCCTAACCGATTATCAAATTAAATTGGTTTGTATAGTCTGCAATTCAAAATCTACACTGGATCGAATATAAATTGGCTGAATATTATCAGTTTTGAAACAGATGAACACCAACGTAACGTGGATCGAAAAAATATTAACAAATTCGAGCCGACGATTGATGAACACCTCTATCAAAAGGTAAGAAATGTTTTAATTTACAAATCAAAAATGTGAGGGGTAAGAAATGTTTTAATTTACAAAATAAAAGGTAACAAATGTTTTGAAAAAAATGGGAGTTAGTTGTGAAACCCACTACACATTAAACTTCAATGATCCGAAATGTTTATTTAATAAGTCTTGATTCATAGATCATCCTTGCAAAAATTTAATTCAATTCAAAACCGTTTGCCTATTTAATTATCACGATGAAATCAATGTTTCTTAGATAACAAAGTGTTTGTTAATTTTTTCGAACTCAATTAGATGCCTCAAATATTTCCGATTTGGCTAATATTTTGCAAAGATGATCTATGAGTCCAACTTAAAAAATAGATAGTTCGGATCGTTAAAGTTCGATGCGGTATGAGCCCCACAACTAATCCTCATTAAAAAAAAATGGAAATTCATTCTCTAAAAGGCTTCTGACATCTATATATATATACACACACACACATACCATAATGCTTCTTACACACACCCTTGTTATTTTTTAGGCATTGATTATCTTTAATTTATTTTATCCAACGGCATGAAATTGAGAAGAATGTGTGAGAAATTTAAATAAGTATGTAGATCACTATCCTAGGGCAAATTACTTGAAAAGCATTGAACCAATTCTTGTCTAGGTGGTCCACTGCATAGTCTGCATTTTATTAGTGAACGTTTAATTGTATTCATAGTTTCTTATGAAAAAAAAAATCCTTGGGTGTTCCGAAGTGATGGACGGAGCCAATGAAGACCTCATTCAAGTAATTCGTTTGTTTAGTTGTATACTACAATTATATAATATATACGAGTTATATTTGAAGAAAATATATGTATATAATATCCAACATATATTCATTCTACTTATACTCCATATCAAATATTATATGAGCAATAGTGTCATTGTTCTGTCATTCAAACCCAAAAAACCCTCTCCCGCCTATCATGTACTTATATTTTTCTCATTACTTTGCCACTTTCCATTACTATATTGAAAATTTTGTAACATTGGAATTGTAATACATCATCATTTGAAATCATTCTAATATCATATTACGTATAAACATATTATAATAAGGTTTCCTTAGTTGTTTTCGGTTGCATTCACTAAAAGAAATTTCTGATTTCGTCCCTAAGTACTTGGTACTCTGGTTGTTTTAATTGTTAAATCTTTATTTTATTTTTTTAAACAAAAGCTTAACAACTAAATAATTTAGAATATCATATACTCGAGAGCACTCCAGAACGTCTCTTCTCGTGGGATGGAATCATATGGCTGCATATTCGCAAGGAAATGATACACGTGCTTAAAATTATTACTCCAGCCGCCCAAGGCTAAAGATCCATCCTTTGTCTCCTGTGGAATACTGCAACACCGTGACGACCTTTTCAACTACAATTTACAAACGTGTTAGTGTTACTACCGGTTGGCTAAGCAGCCACCCCCCATGTGTGTAATTTCAATCATAATTTTTTCACTTTACAGCCGTGTGCGGCCCGTTACAAAGTTGTGTCACGAAATGAATGTGGAAAATGAGAAGAGATATCTCTTGATCTCTTCCAGCAAGATCATCCGATAACTGATTCGTATCTTTGAAAGAAAGAGATCACAAACATAAAAAAACCGTAAAGATTGAATATCGCTAGAGGAAACAAAACAAAGGATAATTATCGAAATTAAAAAGTTAAAAGCTTTTGAAAGAAAGAGAAGAAGATGCATCAAGGAGCATATAAAATAATCAGACAAAATCAAAGCAAGCAGGCAGCAGGAACAAGAAACATGAAACAAACAAATACTTTGTAGGGTAAAAATAGAACTAGCTATAGGAATCACTCCACGTCGAATTTAACGATCCGAGCAGTCTATTTTAAAAGTCTCAATTCATAGATCATCTTTGAAAAAAAATCAATTTGATCCGAAACCATTTGTCTATTTAATTATCACATTGAATTTCATTGTTTCTTAGAGAACAATGTGTTCGTCAATTTCTTTAAACTCAATTAGATGCCTCAAATATTTTCGAATTGGCTAATATTTTACAAAGATATTCTATAAGTTGCAACTTGAAAAATAATGATTCAAATCGTTAAAGTTCGATGTGATGTATGCCCAACAGCCAATCCTCATTTTTTTATCCAGTCCCTTAACTCCAAACCGACTAACCGTGAACTCCAAGTGATGTCCATCGAGAAACAAGCACAATTTTTTCATACAAGGGATCAGTAGGATGACAGATGACTCCTGTTTCAAACAAATGAGGGCAAACGTAACAAGAAGATTAGGCGTTAATTACAAAAGAAGTTGGAATCAGTAGAATCCTATTTCAAACGAATGATCTCAATCGAATACACCCCCTTTATCGGGCTTGTTTTCTCCTTTTACATCGTATTGACAAAGGTTCAAAATCAACAATCAAATATACAATGCGAGCAACTTTTACAATTCAAAGCATAAGGCTTGCCTAATGTACAGTACAAATTCCTCACCAGCAACGAAATACTTAACAAACTAAATACTTACAAAGAGGAAGGCCAAATCAATTATACGACACAAGAAATGGGATGACCATAGACATAAATTCGTCGTAATCAAAAGTTGCCGAACCAGTATACCGCCGATCTTTCTCTTTGAACCTATCGGTCAAACCCTGAAATCAAAATAATAACAATATTTACATGTAATTAGCAAATTCCGGCAAAAAATTCAGAATGAAAGATCAGCACACTGCATTATCTGCTTAAAGAATTGCATCAAACTAGCAATTTGCTCACCCTCACAATCATCCCGCATCTGCATATCAAACAAAACGCTATGTCAGAAGAAGCATAGCCACAAAATGATTTTTAGGAAGAACTGAACAATTCATGTGAAACTATCTAGGGGTTATGCCAGACGTCTGCCTTTTAGACATGATTTTACCTGAGCAGTGGTCCTAATTCACATACTAGCAAAAGAAAGCTTCCACTACATAATATTAGAAGACTTACTCGACAAAACTGTCAAAGTTGAGTTCAACCCTGCGCCCGCTTCCATCGTCATATTTGGAAATCAAAAGTTGAAGAGCAGAAGGTGGCATGGCAAGGCCTAGACCGTAGAGTGCATCTCTCAGTTCCATAGAATCAATCTTTCCACTCCTATCTTTGTCATACCTCTCGAATATGGACTGCAATTTCAGGTTTAAACGATAATTCAGTGTGACAATTTATAGCAAAGAGAACATGGAATGGATTTATACAATCTAAAGCATGTTCTTTTAACAAGTAGAGAGTCAGGCAGCATTCTCTGACTCCTAAAAATGGCATTGCAGAATGGCAGTGTATGACAAGATTTGATTGGGTTCCACAAACTAAATTATCAACAACCATATGAAACATATTTAGCAGTTATTGAAACCAATCGGCATAGAGAACTTCATCACTAGGTGATCGTTACAATTTAAATAGTTCTATAGTAGTTTATATAAATTAAGAGTTGAACCATCAAATGAGTACACCTCAATCCTTACAAGTTACAATAGTACCTACTACATGAGATATATTAACAAAAACCAAAGCATTCTTCAAGCAGAATAAATGGGAACCGAAGGCACCCTAAACCCTAATCATAAGCAACCATTAACTATCTCAAGAACAGATACATATCACAAAAGAAAGTAACGGATGATACTTACTCGCCATTGTCCAAGACAAGTCCAGAGTGCAGCAAACTCCTTCGGCCCTATATCGGAAAATTTATGACAAATTAATAAAGTAAGAAGAGTTAAAGTAATAAAAGGGAACGAAAAACAATCTACTAGCTGAAAGGGGCAATCCGTTTTACCAGGTCAAACAATACAGAATTCTGATTCAATGAAGAAGTCAAAAACCATTGATGCACACATAGTCAGAAACATTAAAATTCCCAGCCAAAGTTAAAGTTGGCATTATTTAACAAAAATATATTAATTTTAGTTAAGCTTTGGCAATTGAAATGGATCCTAAAACACCAGAAATAAGCAACCCATAAATTCAATTGAGACAGAATCCATATTTGTAAAATGCTATCTGAAATTCTAAAAAATACCCTTTTCAAACCTAACAAATAAGGTTTGAAATTCCCTATTTTTGTTCTAATTTCTAATCAATTAAATTCGAAGAACAAAGAAGGTATAGATTGAAAGGCAAAAAACTCACCGACTTTGAGAGAATCCGTGGGACTTTTGAAGAGAAAAATGAGCAGGCGAATGGTCCTGAGGCTAAACCTCTGGTACCCAGAAGACAGAGCTTGCTGCAGCTCGTGCTCGTCGATGTACCCACTCCTGTCCCTGTCCACCATCTCAAAGCTTCTAATCACGGCCGGGTCGGTCCCTGCGGGAAAACCCGACTGCCCATATGAAGAAGAAGAATGAGAAAAAGACGACCCATATGGCTGGTGCTGCGGCTGCCCGTAACCATGGGAGTACTGGGGAGAAGAAGACGACGAATTATGCTGCTGTTGGGGCTGCCCGTAACCATGGGGGTATTGGGTGTGCTGCTGCCCGTAGGACTCGGGCAGGTATGGCGCAGAGGGCGCGTAAGGGTGAGAGCCGTATTTCCCATTGGAAGCCATTGAAGCAATCTGTTTCTGGGTTGCTGAAATTACACAGATTTTGGGGGTTTCTTTTTTTGGTTGCGTGGGAGGAAACGCTGCGTTTTTATACCGTTGTAGCGCCGCGAACCGACGCAAGCAAGCGTGTGGTGGGTTTGTTTCGGCGAAATGCGGTCGGGCGATTTGCGTCCGGTGTTTGTTTACAAATTGAAGTGTTGGACTTCCATTGCATACGGTTACAAATTTTCAACTGTTAAAAGTAATACGTTTACCAATTTTTAACCGTTAGTACTTTTAACGGAAATGAGGTGGCCTTTTAGAACAAAGTACTCCTGGCCTACTCTATCTGGACTACTTTTATTCTAATACGAGCCGCACAAATGAACCGCGTGAATAGACTATTGTAATGGATAAATTACTATTTACAAAGTATATTGACATAAGAAATGAATTTTTTTTTTATCCATTGAGAGGTAAGAGATGAATTACTCAAGAATAAAATTTATTTATTCATACCCTCCTAAAAATGGGACGATTAGAAGGGAGAAATTTTGCATGTTGTTCGATATTAGGATAATGCACAATTCAGTTCGGTACTATATGGGGTTGGATCAAAATCGAAAAAATTTCAATAGGATTCGGTGCGGTATAGGGTGGAACAAAGTTGACCGTTCGGTACTGGTTCAGTTTCAATTTTGGTTGCATTGATAGAAACACACACATTGTATTTCAAGAAATTTCGATTGACTTCAACCCACCACATTCAGCGCACACCACACCACACTCCAACTTCAACTATTACAAATTTAAGTTAAAAAAAAAAGAAATAGGATATAATTAATTAAGCATTACAAATTTACAATTTTATCCCCGAAAAATTGCTTTTGAACCCTTATTTTATCTCCAAAAGAGAAAGCTAGCACAAAAACCCTTGATTTGCAATCCATTAAGCTTACCGTTTAAATTTTGGACAATTTTATCCCCGAAAAATTGCTTTTGAACCCTTATTTTATCTCCAAAAGAGAAAGCTAGCACAAAAACCCTTGATTTGCAATCCATTAAGCTTACCGTTTAAATTTTGGAGTATGATTCTCTCCCTTCCTAATTTCTCTCCCCTTCTATCCCCTATTATTTAAACGGTTACGATTACACCCCGTTTACATTTTTTTTTTTGAATATTTTATATAGAGAATACGACAAAAAAAAAAAGAGTGTAAAAGGAGGAGATGAAAGGGAATGGTAATAAAAGGGAAGAGAATCATACTCCTTAAATTTTTTAGGTTGTTAAAAGCTTAGGAGTGGACGCCAACGGCGAGGAGCTTGAGCCTTTGAACTTTCAAAGTCCAAACTTCAGATTGGAAACAATGGGCTGAGGTAGGAGGAGGCGAGGAAAGGGGGTGGAGGATGGGAGGGAGGAGGAGATGCCAGGAAGAGGGTGAGATACTTTACTTTTCCATTGTCGTCAATCATTGAGCAATTAAATATTGGTAGTTGAGATTGGAGGAACGAGGTTGGAAGGTTGGAGGAGAAGACAGTGGGGTTGAGATTCGAGGAGAAGATGGCGGGGTTGAGATTCGAGGCCCTTCGACTGTTTGTCTATAGGAAGAGAATAATTAAATACACATAAGAAAATAGTAAATATCATAGAATATGTTATCCCAATAATGTATATGATTGGTTGTAATATGATAATGCAACAAAGAAGATGGCGATGAGATTAACTTACATGAATCATTAGCCACGTGTGCACTGCTTTGTACGATCATCTTTGTGTTTTTGTTTTTTCCTCTTCATGATTGATTACGAGAAACTCCCCAAATGTTGAGCTTCAAAGAGTATTCACATTAATACACCAACGACAAATGATGAAGTGAGGGATTCGATTGTGCTAGCAAGATGACTCACTTCTTGGAACAGTATTTTTGGCGACACACTGTAGAGATTTTCGACTAGGATTTTCTTTTTTTTCTCTGGGGGACAAATCGAGATCATTCGGGAGTTATGAGAGAACAAATATGGATACATATAATAACCCAAGCCGCATCCTACCATTGGGCTTGATGCCAAGAACTTTACTCCTTGCGTTAAGTCCACTCCTCTAGCCCACTTAGGCTTGTGAATTGGACTCCTTTCAATTAAATAAGCCCAATGTTTATTTTAATTAAAACATGCCTAGTAGGTCCAAATAATTAATCCAAAATAATACTATCGTAGGTGTGTGACCCCTTAGGTTATAATTAAAACCAGCAGTGAAATTAATTAAATTTCATAAGTCATGAGTGACACCCAGCAATTAGGCCTGGCAAATGGGTCGTGTCTGTCGTGTTTGTATCGTTTTCGTGTAACACATGTTATCTTAACGGGTCGTATCGTGTCAAACCCGTTATCTTAACGGGTTCTTAACAGGTCGTGTCACTTTACCCAACGGGTAAAGTGACCCAACCCGTTATGACCCGTTAAGAAAAATATTTTTTTTTCTTCAATTTGCACATATCATACATTGCCACACAAATATTACTTCAAAACATTAAAATACATTTGTCGTTTAAGTACTACATCTACACTAAAAAATAAGAGTCTAATAAACAAACATACATACACTACTAGTCTATTACAAAATATTAAATGTGCAAGGATATGCAAATGAAAGAGTTTTTGTTTTCAAGGTTGTGAAGCCTTTCTAAAAAATTTAAACCTTACAAATGGAATTCAAAGCTTGTATGTTATTCCTTTTACAAAATCCTCAATTTTCATCGATCATCATGACATAAGATTTTATGGTATCCACTAGTGTAAATATTTTAAATTGAAGATCGGATTCATTCATTGTATTCATATAGGGTCAAAGAGTGTAGCTGTAAAAAAATCATCAAAATCGGAGTTAAAATAATCGTTAAATCGTGATTTTTCGTTGATAACAGTAAAAAAGTTTTGACCCGTTACTTGATCTCTGAATGTTTTTTTTTTTTTGCGATTTTTGGCTTATGGGATCTTGAAGCATATACAAACAAGTTTGACGATTGGATCGTTGAAATTAGTTTCATAGAATGCGTATCCCATCAAAACGATAGATTCACTAACACTTAGAGTTTATTTATACTTTCATTAAGTATAACATAAGATTTTGTGGTATCCACTGGTGTAAATATTTTAAATTGAAGATCGAATTCATTCATTGTATTCATGTAGTCAAGGAGTGTAGCTATAAAATATTATCAAAATTGGAGTTCAAATAACTGTTAAATAGTGATTTTTTGTTGATAACCGTAAAAAAGTTTTGTCCTGTTACTTAATATCTGAATATTCTTTTTTTGCAATTTTTGTCTTGTTACTTGATCTCTGAATGTTTTTTTTTTTGCGATTTTTTGCTGATGCGATCTCAAAGTATATACAAACAAGTTTGACGGTTGGATTGTTGAAATTAGTTTCGTAGAATTCGTATCCCATCAAGTTCAATGGTGTGTGTATATATATATATTAAGTAGATTTAAATTTATTTATTTTGTATTATAACACTTAAGAAATTGAATGGTATATATATTTAAGCAGATCCAATGGTCACCAATTTTTAATATTTAATTATATATATATATATAATTATTATTATAGTTTTTAGGGGCATAAAATTGTTAAATTAATATATATAATTATTATAGTATTTTTTTTAGGGTTATAAAATTATAAAATTAATATTCTGCTTATCGTGTATCGTGTTACCCACGTGTATACCCGAACCAACCCGTTATCTTGACAGGTGCTTATCAGATTACCCGATAACGAGCCGATTCGTTATCATGTCGACCTAAACACCCGTTAATTTCGTGTCGTGTCGGGTTATCGGGTCGTGTCAGGAATTGCCAGGCAGCAGCATGTCATAGCTATCCGGATTAGGTAGAAGTATACATGATGTAATCATGATACTTTTTCGAACCTTGATTTTAGTTACATTGCAATTCGGTTCTTATCATCCATATTTTTGATCAATTTTATAACCCTAAAAAAAATACTATAATAATTATTATATATTAATTTAACAATTTTATATAATTGGAGAGCGGGGCCATTCAGTTAACATGCCATGAATTCACATAAATATTTTTTTATTTTAATTTAAGAAAAATCCCAGCTCAACAAGTTTCAGGTTAATAGTGGGTCTCTTCGCTAATGGATATTTAGCGTCGCAGTAAACTAATCCCTAATTTAATAAACGGAGAATATTGGTAGTTGTAACGTGATATGTTGTGCAGCTGCGCATGCATTACTATTAATTGGGTTGGCACAATGTACTACAACATTTACCAAAATAAGAAAAACTGGTCCACCTAGCTAGTGGAATACATACGTGAAGTTATTTTAACAAGCCTAGAATTCAATGAGTTTTTCAACTTCATATATATAATGTGGTGATGGTGGTCTCAAGAGTTCAACTATTACTGATTGTATCTGCGGAGTTTCGTAGAACGATTATGCTGATGGAGTGTTGCCTCTTGTTGTAATTAAGTCCTTTGTCAAGAAAAGTTCTTTTGAACTTGGAATGTATAGTCACCCCATATAATTGTGATTTATATGTTAATAATAAATGGTGCAGTCAAGTCACCGTCTAATAACTACACAATTGTCTGGTAAATGTCACCAGTTTTGCAACTAAATTTCTAAGAACTAGTAATGGTTTTGACAAACATGGTTCTTTCTCTATAAGAATTTATCATTTTTTCTATAAAGAGGGAAAGGTCACAAAATTAATTATAAAACAAGATGCATGTTTTCAAGCTTTATACAATGCACGCTTTAAAAATGTAAAAAAAGAATGTTGGATTTAAATTATTATTTTAGGACAGTTTGGTGTTTTATGTTGTCAATAACTCAATTGTTGATTATGTGCGTGTAGACATGTTTACCTGTGCGATCATATTCACTGTATAACAATATCATACATGATTGTCTGGCAACAAAGTCATTCATCAAAAATTGGATTCGCCAAAACTCCTATCCTTCTAATGTCTTTATTTTTATTTTTATTTTTTTTTGTGAAGATCTCGAATTAAAAATGATTTACACAAAAAAAAAAAAAAAAAAAAAGAGCAGTTAGAATATACCCACAAATATGCAGGGCCGACCCTGAGAAATTTGGGGGCCCTAGGCGAGCATTCGAAATGGGATCCTAAAATTATTTGATCTCCGATCCTTTGTATATTGATTTATATAAAAAAGAATTTGCT